AAAAAGATTATAATGGATGGTGAAAAGGGAAAAAAAAGAAGAAACCTAATTCTGAAAAACTTTCTGGAAATGGCAGAAGAGTTAAAATTAATTGATATATGGAGAACTAGATTCCCCCAAAAAGAGGACTACCTTTTACTCAAACAGACATTGATCCTGGTTCAGAATAAATAATGGTTGGATATCAGCAGATTTAAGTCAGCAAGTAGAAGACATTGAAATTCCCCCAAACACTTATGCAGATCATAACCCGATTTGGATGACTCTGGGTTGTCCACAAAGAAGAAGAATTTGGAGACTATATACCTCTGTACAGTACTGAAGGATGAAAACTATCTGAAGAAAATTTTAAAAAAATAACTAGAGCTCTTTAAAACAAATAAATCTCAAGATACTGGGATCGCCAATGTCTGGAATAGGGGGAAGGCTTGCTTCCGGGGACTGACATTTGATTTCGTAGCGCAAAAAAAGAAAGAAAGTAGCAGTATCAAAATGTACTAGCAGCCCTTAAAAAAGAGGAAACAGCTTTAAAGATAAATCCTACAGCACAACAACTTAAAAATAAGATTAATATATTACAGCACAAAATCAGTTTGCTTGACCAGGAAGAGATGACAACGAAAGTACAATTCGCAAGGAAAAACTTCTTTGAAAATGCTAATAAACCAGGAAGATGGCTTGCATATAAGATTAAAAAAAGAAAGAGAAAACCCAACTATCAGTTCCTTTCTAGATAAGGAAAGGAAGGAAACCTTCAAATGAGGAAAAATTTAAAAATAGCATGAAAATTTTATGATATTCTTGGAAGGAACCCTCCTTGGAAGGAACTGGATCAACAAAAAAATTAAATAACTCTATAGCAATGAATGAAATCATGGAAGCATGGAAAAACCAGAAAAAACAATAAGACGCCTGGACCAGACGGACTACCGGCAGAATACTATAAAGCTTCTCAGGAAGAACTGATCCCACATTTCAAAAAACTGTTAGACGCTCTTGATATAGGTGGGAAAATACCTGAGTCATGGAAAGATGCCCAAACATCTCTAATGCATAAAACAGGAATGGAAAGAAATCAGATTAAGAATTATAGACCAATTTCCTTGTTAAATGTGGATTATACGATTTTTGCCTCGATTTTGGCTAACAGGCTGAAAAAGGTCGTAACCCTGATGATACATAAAGACCAGACAGGTTTTCTACCTAAATGGAAATGGGCTGCAAATATTTATTTATTTATTTATTCAATTTATTCAATATAAGAACAGTAATAGATATACTGGAGTACTATGAAGCCCATCCAGAAAAGCAAATGATGCTAATCTTTTTAGATGCAGAGAAAGCCTTTGATAATGTGAATTGGGACTTTATGTTGAATCAATTAAAGATGATGGGCCTTCAAGGAAGCTTTTTTCAGGTGGTAGAATAAATCTATTCACAACAAAAAGCAAGAGTCAAGGTCAACGACCAAATCTCGGAGGAGATCCAAATTCAACAAGGCACAAGACAAGGATGCCCCTTATCACCTTTACTTTTCATCTTGACATTAGAAATATTAAACAGACAAATAAGGTGAAATCCCAGAATTAGGGGGTTGGGAATAAAAGGAGAGGAATACAAACTACAAGCTTATGCTGATGATTTGGTACTATTGCTAGAAAGCCCAGAGCAATTGATTAGAGAATTAATATCCATAACTGAAAACTTTAGTGCAGTATCAGGACTTAAACTGAATTATATAAAAAAAAATCTGACAAAAAATGTGACATAAAAAGAAGCAAAAAAAAATTAGAAGTAGAAACTGGCTTTGAACAAACGTCGAAAATTAAATATTTGGGAGTGCATATCTAAAAACACACAAAAAAACGAACAACAAGTAACTTGATGAAAGACAATTATCTCCCAATACTTAAAGAAAAACAGGAAAATTTGGAAAACTGAGGCAAATTGCAGTTTTCAATGCTGGGTAGAATTGCAACTATAAAGGTTAGCATTTTACCAAAGCTTCTGTTCCTGTTCCAAAACTTGCCAATACTGTTGAATTATAAATATTTTAAAGAAGTAGACACTGTGTTCTCTAAGTTTATATGGTAACTAAAAACCCAAGAATAACATTTGAAGCCCTACAGGATTTCAAAGAAAGAGGAGGAATGGGCTTACCAAATTGTTTACTGTACTACAAAGCCTGCACACTGAATTGGATAAAGGAATGGATCACTTTGGAGGACCAAACACTTAAAATTGGAAGGGCATGATTTGACATTATTATGGTACACATATATAACATATGTTAGGTCAAAGACCAAACACATTTTTCTGATCATATTGTAAGGAGAGCGCTATACCAGGTTTGACAAAAATTCGAGGGGCAAATATACAAAAATATTCTGATACGGGTAGGGCCTTTGGAAGCTTTTACACAGCCTTCTCTAATCTTGAAAGAATTGAGATATATGTATAAAAGGCAACAGTTAAAAAATATACAGGAGCTGAAGGAAAGGGGTCTACTAACGCAGTGGTTCTTAATGTGGGCAATAACGCCCCCAGGGGGCGATTTCATTTTTCAGGGGGGCGGTAGAACGAAAAGGGGCAGTGTGGGGGCGGCGGAACAGAAGGGGAGCAGTAGGGGGCGCTGGAGCAAGCCAAACCTGTGAAGGCGGCTGCAGCCGCGGTGTTGGCAGTGGATCTGGTGCTGGCACCACCAGACAGTCCAGCTCATTCTGCCTGCCACGTCTCGCCTTCCTCCTTTAGGGGAGCACCGAGTGAGGATTGGGTGGAAGGAAAGGGTCTCTCAGGTCCCCATCATCACCCGGTGAAGCGCTGCCTTGCGTCTGGGTGGGGAGGGAGAGACGAGCCCCATTTTCCGTCCTGCCTTCCTGCCCACCTTCCTGCCTGTTGCAAGGGAAGCGCGGAGAGAAACGGGTCAGTTTGGGGTGGCGTGGCAGGATTTCTAGGGATGGGTTGGCTCGGGTCATCCTGGGTGGGTGGGAATTTGGCAGCTTTTCTGGCTTTTCTTGTTGTCCTGTTGTGGTTGGCTGTCAGGGGGGTTCACCTGTCCAACTTTAAATGGCTTTGAAGGACGTCGGACTTGAGTTCTTCCCCTGTCTTCCATGTACACGGATGTGATGTGCCTCTATGTGTAAATCCTCTGTGAGAGAAAGCTCTCAAATTTAACTGAGAGTGCTGAGGGCAAAATCCACGGGGCTGTCATAGAGAGAAAAGCAAACACACTGTGGAAAGTTAGCCGCTCCTCTTTCTCCCTGAACCCTGAAGATCCGTTCAGTGAAGGCGAAAAGGGCAGCATGTCAGTGGCTTGAGTATAACAGTTTGCTTCAAGAAGGGGGTGGCAGGGGTGCTCCAAAAGGTTTAGACTACAACTGCCACAATCCCCTGCCCTTGGCCCACTTTCCTGCCCATTGCAATGGAAACGCGGAAAGAAACTGGTTGGTTTGGGGTGGCACGTCATCTCTCATTGAGCTATTCAACAGTTCAGTTGTTTATTGTTCTGTTGGGTACTTGGAAAGTTGTTTTTAAGGTAATTTGTTATGGATGTTGTTGTAACCCTCCTCCCCCAAAATTATTTGTGTGAGTAAATGTTGCAAAGAGTGTTAGTTACTCATTACTTTCTGACTACTGTAAAACCCTTAGGACTGTGAAGTGATTGCCGTAAAACTTGAAAATTCTTCTCAAAATCTTCTGAAAAGATAATGTGAAAATGTTACATTAAACAAGTTTCATGTGTAGACGGTTGGGACTGCCTCTTTGCCTCGGCCTGCTGGACAAGGGTCACTTCAAATTGGGAAAGGCCATGATGCAAAAATGGCATCAGGGGTTAGCAGCTCATGTTGGAAGTGTGGTGAGCAAGCTGAGACTTTTTTCATATGTGGTGGACATGCAATAGAGTAAAAAGATTTTGGAGACAGATAAAAGATATTACACAAGAAATTATACAACCTTTAAACCAGAAATGTTTCTTTTTAATATAATGGCAGATATTGTTGGTAAAAAAATTAAATCTATATTGTTGCACATATTTACAGCTCCAAGGCTGATTTGGGCCCAAAAAAAGGAAAAATCAGGAAAACCCGAAGGTGGTGGAGCTGATTAAAAAATTGTTGGGTGTTGCAGAAATGGATAGCCTGTCAGAGGCATTACATGAGAACCTGAGAACATATGTTTTAAAAAGCTGGAAAATGTTTTATGATGTGGCCCAGAAACAAACATGAGTACAGAATATAGCATATGTTACAGATTTTAGTACTGTAACACAGCCATGGAGCCAAGGCTATACTATATATTGTATTATTGTAACCACTTCCCCTTGTTCCCCCCGTATCTGTCTTCCTTTGACTGTTTGTTATATGAAGAAAATAAAGATAATAATAATAATAAAAAGATCTTAGCGTGTCCAGTTGCAACTGAATGGACTGTTGTGTTCCTTGCTTGTTGCACATCAGTTAGATTAGGGGTAGGCAACCTGGATGATTTGAACTACAACTCCCATAATTCGATTTTTTTGGCTATGCTGGCAGATGCTAATGGGAGTTTACTAAATTGTTTAGCCTAATATTATGGACACTGACTCTCTGTAGCTCTCCAGGGATTCAGGTAGGTTTCTTTCCTCATTTTACCTGGAGAAGCCAGATGTTGAACTTTCTGGACGCAAACCAGGTGCACTGCCACTGACCTAGAGGCTTCTTTCAACTACTGGCACTGCAAAATTTACCAGCTGTGTCTTGAAGTGTCTTTTTGCAGAGCTTATTGAAGCCCATGTGAACTCCTGAGTAAGAGATTGTCTTGTGTTTGTGTGCTATTGGTTTCTGTGCTACTATAAATAATCTTTTTAAAAAATGAAGTTATTGTAATATTGGTGTTAATTTAAGGCTGTGTAACAGAGTTTCCATTTGTTCTTTTGACCGCATTAAAAATCATAATATATAATTCACCTATAGTGCAATGTGATCAACTAGGATATATATTTAGATATATATTCCTTACAGAGGCTACAGAAATCGTGTTGAAGGCTCAGATCCTAGCTGGAGGAAGAGGAAAAGGTGTTTTCAGCAGCGGTCTCAAGGGAGGTGTGCACCTAACCAAGGAGTAAGTGTGGAAATTACCACAATATTTTCTAAACATAGGAAGAGTCATGCTGATTCTAAACGAAGATCTATCTAGTCTAGAACTCTGTTTGTACATTGACCAACAAGTTGAATTTGCCTGGTCCCTTTTTAAAACCACACCAGGTTGTGGTTTCAAATTCTGTATACAGTGGTGCCTCGCATTACGACGTTAATTCGTTCCAGTGAAATCGCTGTAGAACGAAAACGTCGTAAAGCAAAAATAAAAAAGCAGTTGAAACGCATTAAAACCTGGTTAATGCGTTCCAATCGGCTAAGAACTCACCGTCCAGTGAAGATCCTCCATACGAGTGGCCATTTTCGGGTGCCTGTGCAGTGAAAAATGGCTCCTAAACACAGCGGGGAGCCATTTTGAGGACCCGGTGGCCATTTTGAAAACCCAACGATCAGCTGTTTTGATTGTCGAGAAGCGAAAATCGGTCTCCGAAACAGGGAACCAATCATCACGCAGTGAAATTCCCCCATTCAAAATGTCGTAGCGATTGCAAAAACCTCGTTGTAATGCGGATTCGTCATTAAATGGAGCGCCCGTCTTGCAAGGCACCACTGTATTGTATGTGTCAAATATCCTTGTTTTTAAAAAATGTCCTTACTATTATAGTCTTTAAAATTCTGTATATTTTTCCCCTTCTGTCTTCTGCCACCCATTTTCTCCTTCGCTTGTAGCCCTAATGTGGTGCGACAGCTTGCTGAACAGATGATTGGATACAATCTTGTGACAAAGCAAACACCGAAGGGAGGTGTTAAAGTTAAGAAGGTAAGTGAAACCCCCCACCTGCCGCTCTTATTATGACTCTGTTACGGTATGTTACTGTGCAACGGATCTGCATTTTACAGACATTTCATTGTTCTCTTAATGATTTTCCAAATACTGTTAATCTGATAATGAAAGTCACTGGGTAATTTTTATATATTCTGTGTTCCACATCTTAAAACATACTTCTTGGGTCTACTTAAAAGGAGTGACGACAAATCTTGAGGCCATGCAAAAGTTTTCTCTGGCTGGCAAGAAGGAACAAAATGGAAAAGTCTGGTCCTCTTTACTTAAGTCATTCAGGTTGCCTTTTGGAACTTCTGGTCTCATGGGGAGACACAAAGCGTCACAGCTGAGTGGTATAACATGTGGTTTGTGTACATCAGGTTCTACTGAGGGAAGATAGTGCTGGACAAAATGCAGATCCTGGAAAATTTACTTTCTGGGACTACAGGTCCCATAATCACGCAGCCAGTATGGTCAGTGACTTGGGAAATAAGCGGAATTGCAATCATCAAATGTAACTTTCTGAAACAGTGATGAGGTGGGCTGCAAGTCTTAGGCAATTGTACCCATTTGTGTATTTTCAAAAGCAGAGTACCATATTTCACAAGCTGCTTTCAACTATCTGTTTCCTGTTCCTTTCAATGTTCTCGATCATTCCAGAGTGCAGAGAGTACCATATTTCACAAGCTGCTTTCAACCATCTGTTCCCTGTCCCTTTCAATGTTCTTGATCATTCCAGAGTGCAGGACTCATAATAATGGGCTCAAGCTGCAGGAAGCCAGATTGAAGCTGAGTATCAGGAAAAAAAGTCTTAACTGTTAGAGCAGTATGAGAGTGGAACCAGTTACCTAAGGAGGTGGTTAACGCTCCAGCGCTGGAGGCATTCAGGAGAAAATTGGACAACCATCTGTCAGAATGAGCGGAGGGTTGGACTTGGTGGCCTTATAGGTGCCTTCCGATGCAATTATGTGATTCTTTAATGCATTGTTAACTGAAAATATGTACTGTACATTGCTTGACATGTTCAGGATCTTGGCTGTTAGTGTAGTGTGATTTTATATCTCCAGGTAAGAGGCTTGAGACTCTGAAGTCTGGCTTGGCAAAAACAGGTTTGTACCAATCCATAGCATACAATGAAAAAACAACAACAAAAACACGACCTGACTTATGCTCTGCCTAGGAACCACACAGGAAGGCAGCAGCCTTGACTTAAAACTATTTTCACAGTCCGCAGTTATCCAGACCAATGTATTTCACTGATTTCAGGGAATTTTACAGGTATATAATAATTATCCACAGAATTGCTGCCAGAATGTTTTAGGTGTATGGAAATGGTGCCCATCTTTTCTAAATCATCCCAGACTATCTTGATTTCTAGTTACTTCTTAATCAGTCTCAAATCTACTGACTTTTTTACTCATGACTGTAACAGTACAGATGCGTTTTGGAATGGCTATGCGTGAAAGGAAGGTTTCTGCATTTCTTCTGAAATCAATAGGAAATGAAAGGCTTGCATGTTTAGGATAGATTATGTAAATGAAACTGCTCTTTAAATACTCTCTCAGCCAGGCCGAAAACTTCCAAGAATTAATGCCGACCGGAAAAAAAGGTTTAAATGATCCCACCATGTGGGCTGGTTTTAATTAATGACTACTGTCTGTCATTGAATAAAATGGAGTTTGCGTGTGACATGCAGATAGGATGTAATAGCTCATTATTTTAGGAATTAGTTATGATCATTTTTCAAAATGATTGTGATCACCAGTGTGATGCTGTTGCAAAGGGCAGATTCAGTCCTTAGGATGTCATTTATAACTTTACGAGGAAGAGGGTGTTTCTGTCCAGATTTGGATCATGTATAAAATTATGCCCCTGGCAGGACTTAAATAGCTTGAATGAACAAATGCTAAATTGATAATAATAAACATATAGTGTTTAGTGGCGGAGCCTCCTAAATCTGTTGGCCTGACAAGTGGAGACAGAGTAAACTTATTGCCTCCAATCAGATCTGTGCAAGGTTTTCAGATTTTACTCAGTACTCATGTAAAAGTGGATTTCTGCTGTTCATCTTTGGAGTGGACAGCTCCATGAGTGCAGAGAGAATCAGACCAACGACTTTGTCCTGTTCCCTAAAGGCACTCTGCTTTCTGTTGAAGTCAGTGGCACACTCCTCACTGATAGCAATATATTTTTAGAACATTATAATAGGTTGTTCGGATGCAACATATACAACTTTTACTGCATTGTAAGAATTATTAGAATAATAAAAAGGGGGTGTGCATTTTGTTTACCTGACTTCACTTTCTCTTTCCCTCTCACCCCCAATACACTTTGATGTAGGTCCCTTCCAACCCCTCCACACCCTAGAAATTCTGATCCTGGGAGAGGAAATGAGGATTTCAAATACAGAAGTTTCATCAGCCCTGGCTTCCAGGCTTGCTTGAGAAGGGGGGGGGGTAGCTAAGAACTGGGACGTCTTGGTTTATGTCCTGAGTACAGATGGTGTCCTTATCGACAAATGAGCTTTAGAAAGTACTTTTCTTTCCCTGCAGTAATACTTAAAATGTTGGTGCAAGATCAATCTGTCTTAAATAAACAGAGCTCCCCCCTGGCTTCTTCAGAACTTGGCAGCTATTTTATAGGTTTACATAAAATTCTCTTACGGCATCTTGACGTTTGGAGAGTTTGGTTATCTGCAAAGACAGTTTTCTGTTTATCTCAACCGGCTACCTGTCCCTTTACTCTAAGCACTAAGAGAATTAACTTTGGGAAAGTTTGAATTAAAGACCTTGGTGATTCCACGGCTCCCCCCTCCCTCCCACCAATATGCCTTGCTAGTAATGGTTGATTCTTGGAAGACGCTACAAAAGCCTTTGGTGATAGTTATTTTCTAAACAGAGGAACCCATTAATTCATTGAGATTCATAGCTTTAATCATCTTGAAAGGTAGGAGGGGGGGCAAACATATGATTCCAGATGAAAAGCATTCACACACAGCTTTCACAGATTCCTCTTATAGAGCTTAGGAGAAGGCTCCCATTCAGAATTTGCCAAATCTCTGAGGTGAATCCTCCTACCATTGGGAAGCTGTTAAAGACATCTTTTCGTGTCCCTGTATTACTTTATGCAGGGAGCCTGCTTTGTGGTTCGTGTTCGGTTTTAGGATGGGCTGTTGAGTTTTTCATCCTTCCCCAAGGATGCACATCTTTTCCCTCTTCTTTTTCAAGGGCAGATTAACTAGCATTTTAGTGTATTGGGACCATCTCAGCAGAGTAATAGCATTAGTAATAAGATACCTTTCCACCTCTATGGTCTGTACGCATTCTGCGCTGACCTAGAACAGACCTCAGATTAATGTAAAGCTTCAGCCAGGGAATTACTGCTCGTTCCCAGCCCCCATTTTTTCAAGAGTTATACTGGATATGACGTGTGGGTTTAGGATGCAGCTCCACACTCCAGTCTCTGATACCTACATTGATATCAAATTGAGAAAGAGTTTGAATTAGAAAACTGTCTTGCTGTTTTCCTGGAGGCGTTTGTGCATGGTTTGACCCGTGTTGCGAATAAGGGCAGAGTTAAATCTCGGCTTACCCTTAAGTGTGTCCAAACACCCAGAAGATTTGCTTTTATACACACTATGGGTTTTATACACAGCAGGATAAGGTTGGGCAAGTTCTAAGGGTCCAGAGGCCAATTTCCCCTCTTGTGGCGCTCATTTGGGCCACGCCAGCTGAAGTGGGGGTGGGGGACTGGAAGTAGACTCTTGGTCTACTTTTCGAGGAAAAATTGGGATTTGTGCCTTGACAATTGTGTCCAAGGCAGAGGGCTAGAAATTATTTGATATGAGAATGTCTACTGTAGTCTTCAAAGAGTGGCAGTTTACCTTTTTGCCCCTCCAGCGGGAGCAGAGTTCCAGAAGGGGCCTGGGAACTGAGAAAAGTAGTGTTAGTGAATATCTACAGTGAATATGTAGATCAAAGGATCATATCCCTTACATCTTGTGCCCATGTGCGCATTGTAAGCACCTCCAGACAGGGACTACTTCATTTTGTAATTACATTGTAAATTTATACATGCTGTATAAATAATAATACAGATGTAGAAACAATTGTACTATATAAATATTAACAAATGGTAGCGACCATGTAGGAGAGCCAGGTTGTGGCCTGGGTATTTGCAGCCCTGCAGTAAAGGGGGCCAACAAAACCAACCAAACAGCCAACACATCCACCCACCAACCAACCTAGATTAGCTTTCTGCACTCATTGGCATAATGATATTTAAATGGCGTGCATTTTGTTTAGGGATGACGGCATCTAGATTTATCCAGTGCCTAGACCGATCCTCTCAGTAGCTGCTTTACTCATGCCATCAATAGTGATTCTGAAGAAGAGGCAAGCAGGATTTTTTCCAGGATTCCCACTTGGGTGCAGAACATGCTCAAGAGAATGAACATTTCTTCAGATTCCATTCATTGATCACATGTACTTTAAATGTGCTATGAATCCAGATATTGTAATGCCTGAAGAGAGCAACTGTCTCTAGTTAAGAAGTCCAAAAAAAACCTTCAGTGGCCTTTGTAGGAGAGACCAGTTGCAGTGAAGGAGTGGATGTAAGGCTTTTTGAACCCACAGCTTTAGAATGTCACACTCACCCCAAGTAGTGTTGTCTAGGGGCTTCTGGGAGTTGTGGTCCACACAGTAATTTTTCTAGTTTTTCCTGGGCTTTCAAAGGAGTCCCATTAAAGAAACTGGCAATTCTGTATCAAACTGCTGACACAGATTCCCCCCCCCCTCCCCAGATTTTTAGAAGCATTTTTATAATAGTATTGGATTGCCCAGGAGGGTTATGCATTTTGGCTTTGAGGGGCAGGCAGGAGGGCAGGGAGATGCAATTTAGATGGGAGAAAGAAGAGATGCTGAGCCTTTGGGGCAGCTTTGCGTTGAAGCCCAGGAAGCTTTGCTGAAAATTCCATTTGGTGTTCTTGAAACAGCCAATATTCAATGCTTTCTCAACCAGGCTAGAAAATGGCTTTGTCATTTTTCTGTAATAAAAGCCAATTCTGCATTAAATACCAGGTATTATGGAATCTTTTTTGGGGGGGGCACATCAGAGAACTTGTAGATGCATCACAAAGCAGTGGACATATATTCCTGCCAAATATATTTGTTAGTTCAGGTATGATTAGAAGATCAATTAAAGAAGGGCATCCCATGTTATAGAAAAGATTCTTCAGATGCAATCAATGACATTTGGCATTCCCTTCACATGCCATCTTACTTTCAGTGGTTCTGGGAGTTCCATTGATGGTATTAAGAAAAGGCATAGCCTCTTCTAAAACCTGGACCTTATGGTATTTTCCCTTAATGTGCCATTGGGATTATTTATTTGTGCAGCATTTGAAACTGACTTACTTTTCATTGTGTGTTAAAAGAAGTGCTAAAAAGTCACAGTCGATTTTTAATTTTCTTTTATTTTTATTTCCTTTGATGATAAAGAATAACTAATAGGACCAAGGTAAGTATAATATTGCTGCATTCCTGTATAAAAAAAAACAAAACATGTCTTAATGTGCTTCCTTAGTTTATAGTAGTTTCCTTCCTCTAGCATACACTTCATTCTGCATTGTGGATGATTTCCATAATGCAGAAGGAAAATGAAATGGAAATGATATCTAATATATGATGTTGCAGTAAAGTCGTTGATTCCTTTTGTGACGAGAGGAATCAATGAAGGATTCAAGAATGTGAGTTGAGCTCCAGTGCACATTTATTACAGTACATTGTGTTCTCTCTGAATAATGGTCATTTCCTCACTTAAGAACCTGTATTTCTAACACAGCCAATAAAATACTGTTTTTGCTGGATATTGCTAGCCAAGGCATGCGAATAATACATTGCCACACAATCCTTTGCAGGTTATGGTGGCAGAAGCACTCGACATTTCCAGAGAAACCTATTTTGCAGTGTTAATGGATCGAGCTTGTAACGGACCTGTTCTGGTTGGCAGCCCGCAAGGCGGGGTTGATATTGAAGAAGTGGCTGCCAAAACCCCTGAACTCATCTTCAAGGTACCACCTCAAAGCTTACTACTTGGTTTGAAACCTTTAAAGTATGAACGTGTGCGCAGTAGTGTACTGATGGTATGGTTTTGAATGAGTGTCTAGCAGGACATGGCTGTGCAAAGAGGTCCCAATGTAAAGGATGGAAGGGCTATTTCTACTCCATATGAATCCCATTGATTCATGAAGTGGTGGAGATTCAGTCTGTGGTAGAGTGGTTGGGGGGAGTTACCTTTTGAACTACAGTTCCCCAAATGCCCCCAGGCAGCATGGACTGTATAGTACAAAAAGATAACATTTCTAAACTCTGGATGTCTTTGTGCGAAAGCTTCCAGTGGGCTATCAAAACAATTTTGTTGTGAAAGGGATTTTTATCCTTGAGTTTCTTTAAAAATGAGCTTTTAAACTATGTTTTAAAACAAGGGGGGTGCAGTGTTTCAAATCTGTTTTGTAGTAAAGTTGTTAATATTATTTTGATGGTTGTAGTATGTCCATTGTACATCACTTTGAAAGCCTTGGTAGGCAGAAAAACCATAAGCAGATAACTACAAATAAAGAAATAAATGTGTGCCAGGCTCACTTGTTGGCATTTCCAGTTAAAAGGATCCCAGTTAAAAGAATCTTAAGACAGATTCTGCCACTTGGAATAGAGGGCATCTGGGCTGGATGGAGACTAATTTGACTATTTTCACTCACACCTATCTTGACGGTGGAATGTACAATATCAACGATTTACTGCTGAGCTCATGGATAGAATTCAAGAGGAGCATAATCATGAACAGATGCCACTCTAGCCGCCTAGAGTGGTCTTAACCGACCAGATAGGCGGGATATAAAATAAATAAATAAATAAACAAACAAACAGCCTTTGCATCATTTCTTGACCCTAATATAGCCCACCGTAATTAGGTCATGGTAATTTTTTCTCAGATACCCAGTATACTGTAGTCTATAGAGTGGTGGATTAGGACTCTGTAGATAAAGGTTCAATTCTCCACTTGACCATGGAGTCACTGGTGGAGAAAAACTGGTAAAACCACTCTTTAATATTTCTGAAAGCTCTGTTAGGGCTGGTATATGTCTCTTCTGACTTGATGGCATATAACTAAGTAATTTTTTTTGTCATATGTGAAATATTAGGTAAGTTTACAAAAGTTGCTTCCAGATTAGATGTTTATCATGCAAATAACCTGTCACAGGGAGTTTGAACTATTTGTAATCCTCCTGTGTTTTCTCACTGCTTTTTCCATCTTTTTCCTTTCCTCACCAAAACTAAGCATAACCAAAACTCTTAAGGTGGACTAGCCACCTGTCCTTAGATTATTAGTCTTGAAAATCCTCCCTTTGGGAACAGCCTTATATTAATTTATTGGGGCTGCTCCCTGTTAAGTGGGTGTAACTACAGCTTAAGCAACCTTCCATAAATGGGCTTAAGTCCAAATCCTATAATCAGTCGACTCATTCCATAAGGTGATGGTTGGATTTAATATTTTTTGGAAGGAAGGCTGGATGTGAGACATGCAATGTCTGAATTCCTACCCAACAAAGAAGTCTGACATACCAAAGATTTTGGTTTCTGCATTCATAGAGGTAGTTTTGTGGAGGAACATTCAAGTGTGCAGACCTCCACACATAGCTGGAAGTGGTATCAGCTATACCAGTTAATTATGTTAATCTATAAATTATCCTCTATTCATTCGGCAGATAAATATATCCTATTTAATTAGCAATACATGTAGTTTACTTTACTGGTAACAATCCCAGCTAGTTGTTACATTATATTATTATACTGATGGATGGTTGATGGCATAACGTATTCTGATGGGAGCTATGTAATTAAGTAGCGACAGTAAGGGAGTATTGTAACATAACAACAGAGTCAGCAGATGTGCCTAGTGAGCTAATTAAACATTCATTCATTCATTCACTCACTCACTCACTCACTCACTCAAACACACACACACACACACACACACACACACACATACATACATACATACATACATACATACATACATACATACATACATACATACATACATACATACATACATACATACTGGCGGGGGAAAAATATTTGAAACTTACACATTGGGAGAAATAGTACTGGGCGTTCTCCCTTTGGCTCCATGCCAAACTAGTCGTAGGAATCAACAGAGTAAGTATTCATCACTGCCATCTGTACAGTAATTAAAAGTGAAAACTAGTGTCAGATTGTCTTGTCAGCATGCTACCCTGAAGAATTACATGGTTTCGGGAGGGATCCTTTTTCATAGATGGCGTGGTAATTATAACATACCCTATAGGCAGCCACAAGTAGCCTCAGTGTTGGAAAGCTGGCGATGTGCCATGTTTTAATTACCAGTTTGCAAATATGTATTAAGCATTTCTTTTTCACTTTTGAAGTTACAAATCTGTTTACGCAATGGATCCTTTTACCTCAGTTTTTCTGCCCTTTCTTGTCAACAGGAGGAAATAGATATTTTTGAAGGTGTAAAAGACACTCAAGCACTTCGGATGGCAGAAAATTTAGGATTCAAGGGGCCTCTGCAACAGCAGGTAATTTCAGTCTGGGGTGAGAGGGGTTGTATTCTGGTGTTACGGAAGCTTTTCCATGTGTGACCTTTCAGGAGAGAGGGTTGTGCTCTCACTTGGACTGGAGGCCTGAGCATCAGCAGGACTCTCTGTCCTGAGTGGATCACTGAATCAATCAATGGGTCTTTCATAAATCAACCTTTCTCAACTGATATTGTGGTTGGGATCAGACTTTTGTGTGTAAATACTGCTGTTGTGGAGCATCTTCTGCATTTAGGAATTATGGCAGAAACATCAAAACTGCTGCTGGAAATATAAAAAGCAATACCAAAAATGTCTTGTTAGGACATAATTTTCTTGCATTTAGAAAGCAAATGCAGTGTGACTGCAGGGAGGAATTCTGGCATATGTTGGGGGGTTGCTTGTGTGATTTCTGCTTTGTGTTTAGGCAACAGGATACTAGCCTGCATTTTCCCCTTTTGGAGGACATAATCATGCAACCTTGAAGTTGTTTATTATTTTTATTTATTTATTGGCAACAGGATACTAGCCTGCATTTTCCCCTCTTGGAGGAAATAATCATGCAACCTTGAAGTTGTTGTGAAACATCACTGAGTTTAATGGCTCTGGCAGATTGTGTTGTACTTTTTCCTTAGCACAGCTTTCTTGGGTTCTTTCTACTTTTAAAAAGATTTTCAAAGGAAAGTAAACAATTGCAGTTTCTTTTTTAAGCCCCCCCCCATGTTCTCAGTACACCTTTTGCCCTTCTAATATTATCTGTGATTCCAAATTACAAGGAATTGCAAACTACTTTGTCTATATAGTTCACCCACCAGCTTCTTTTGCTGCTCTAGAAAGAGAGTGATGATAAATTGGGTTTGCACAGAATGTCCCATATCATCAAAATGCCACTTTTACAAAACCTTTGAATTTTTAATACACCACTTCTAATTAATTTCTGTCCCAACTGTGCAATTAACAAATGCATAATCATTAAGATGATTAACACCCATTTGAAGATTTAGCAGTATCTTTAATGAGAGAGAATTATTATTAAATCTTTCTAGCTTTGCATGTTCTAGCACTTAATTATTAGAACAATGCATGAACTGCTTAACTAAACAACAACTAATACATTTCTTGCCATGTGTTATATAACCTTTGCAATGTGATTTACTGGAGCATAGAAACATAATAGCTATATCAGTACAGCCAAAGTTCTGATTAATTTCATCTTATCATAATTATTTCTATTCCCCAGTAGGTATAAACCAGGAAAATTCTAGTGTTATAGGGAGAGTCTGACAACTAGCATGCTATGAAACCCTTGTGATAAACTCAAATAATGCTTGATAATTTCTTAGATGTTTGTAGATTTGCTGTTTAAATGAATATTAAGAAACTATGTTTTTATCTAAATTATTTTCAAACATTAGTATGGAGCAATTAACTCTTACATTACAGTAATTATTTGACTTGGTGCCTTGCAGGCGGAGGTTCTTTGCTCAAATGTCCATTATTATTGTATTGTTGTTATTATTTGACTTGTTAAGTGGAATTGCTAATTCAGGTTACAATTAGATCTATTATTTAAAAGGCTTTGACTTCTTCCTTGTGCACATTTGTAAGGTGCATGGATTTCCTTATGTCAGTGGGAATGATGAATCCTGTTGCAATATGTTATGGTACAGTAAGTACAAATAATAATAGGTAAAATCCTGTTGCTTATTGTTGTTAAGTCATAAGAGGCACACTGAAACATGGCAAAGGCCTACAGTATATCAGAAAAGTTTGAGGTAATACAATGGTGCCCCGCATAGCGACGATAATCCATTCCGGATAAATCGTCGCTATCCAGATTTGTCGCTATACAGGGCAAAAAACCCCATAGGAACGCATTAAACCTTGTTTAATGAGTTCCTATGGGGAGAAAACTCCCCGTTATGCGAAGATCCTCCATAGGGGTGGCCATTTTCGGTGCCTCTAAAGCGAGGCAACACAGCAAGCGGCCATTTTGGAAACACCGATCAGCTGTGTGAAAATGGGGCCTTTGGGAGGACCGCGGGGGAGGGCTCCCCTGTGGCCCTTCCGAAGCCACCACTGGCATTTTCACCCAGCTGAGCAGCGGTGGCTTCCGAAGGACCGCAGGGGAGGATTCCCCCGTGGTCCTTCAGAAGCTCCCACCACTCAGGTGGGCGAAAATGCTGGTGGTGGCTTTGCGAGGACTGCGAGGAGGGCTCCCCCGCAGTCCTCGCAAAGCCCCAGCCAGCATTTTCACCCAGCTGAGCGGCGGTGGCTTGGGAAGGCCTGCAGGGGAGCCCTCCCCTGCGGGCCCTCCGAAGTCACCCCC